GAAAGGCTTTGAAAATAAAGTAACAATATAGACAAAATAAAGTTTGTCTTTTACTAATAAGTTATAACTATGCTAAACTCTTAAAACTTAGGTTTATTTATCCTTAATTAAATTGGTGTAAAGGATTGACCACAAAATAATGTTTCTTGTACTGGTTGGGGTTGTGTATGTATTCCTTGAACACTTCAAGTGGTTTTGCTTAGGGGAGCTCCCACCAGAAGATAACATGTTTCTAATGCCCATCTCCTTACATTTTGTTTCATTCATTTAGGTGTCTTTAAATATATATATATATATATATTGGTATCCCTTTACTCTATTTAGTTGAGTTGTTTCTAATAATTTATAACTATAAAATAGCTAAATTAAATAGATCCCACAAATATACTAATATAACTTATTTATTCATTTCACTCTTATATCAATGTTAATGAAGTCTTCAGTTCCATAATTAAAAATTTAAAAGTTCGAGACTTTTTAATTTTAAAATTGTCAGTTTGGTTTTTATTAGAAGATGTTGTTTTGTCTACTGCCTTGTGAGTAAGTAGCCCTTGCAAGAACCGAGCCAACCGCTGTCAATACTACTCTTCATGTCCGAACTAAAAGTCCGTTTGGAAATTGGGAAATGTGCAAAGGAAAATCATGGGAGCAAAAGAAAGAACACCAGCAACAAGGAATAGGGTAACTAAGATTGAACCCGGTAGCTATTCACGTAGACATTGTCTATTCTCGTTATCAAATAGACTAGAAATAGGGGTCTTACCGTAGAAGAGAGACAAGCAAAGCAAATTACCTTCTTCTTCTCTCCTTTTGCATATTGCAAATGTTTGATTATTTGCATGTAGATGCTCCAATCGAAGATAGGGAGAAGGGGATCTGGTTGACTATGGTCATCAGCTTCGAGTCCTTTCAGGTAAGTGAGAATGGACTGCTGGGCTTGTTAGCTCAGGGGTCTTTGAAGAAGCTTGTATTAGCTTCCATCTTCTTTTCTCTCATTTGATTTTCAACGTTGATCTACACAGATGGACAATATGGCATAGCTTTAGCTTGCGACTTTATGATTTCAATGTTGTTAATTAGGGAGATTGGGTTTTGGTTGATTAGAGTTTACTGTAAGGATTCGTAGATGGGCAATTGATGAAGGTGGAGGTGATTCAACTCACTCATTGCCTATTTCATACTTTCCCTTCACGATCAGCACGAGACTTTGCATTCAGTCGATCGAGCATCGATGTTGCATGGGTTCACTAAATTGGGGCAATCGCATAAGAGCTTCAAGTCAACAAGATTGTAAGTGTGGAACTTGATTCGGGTTAGAGCCAAAAAGTGAATTTCGTGGGTTCATTGGATTTCTTGCAGGGCTCCTTTTCTTCACCCTAAGTCTCATGTGTTGAATTCACACCGTCTATTCTGGACAAGATAAGGATAAGACATATCTCGAGTAATTTTTTTTTTTCCTGAACTGCGACTGTGTGGGCAGTGTATTGGTTCATTGGGTAAACATATCATTTTCCAAATTGTTATTTTTATGGTTTGTTTGTAGGCATTCTGTTTAGAGGTGATGTATGTGTGTACGTACTGTACGTGGGAACTGAACGTGATCCGTTTCCCTTAGGCATGGTTTAGCTCTGATTTAGTTTTATGGCTTAGAACTTGAACATCATTAGATACTTACTAATCTTTCTTGCTTTTTCAGGGAAATAAAACGTATTGTTGAATGACATACTGAACCCTCATAGCTGCGACTTTAAATTGTTTTATTTTGACTGAAAATCTATAATCTTTATATTGTGACAAAATTATTTCAGTACCAATTGTATGTCATCTGTCATCCAGTCCTTTTGATAATTCTTCACAACCTGATTATTTTAGTACTTTTTTTTTTGGCCGAGTGATTTCAGTACTTATCTTTCCCAATTTCTAAGCATATATATTAGATGGAATAGTGCAGATGAATGAACGAATAAAAATGATATTTATGAGATTGAGAGCAAAAAATAAAAATAATAATAATAAAAAGAACACATATGAAAGGAAGTTTTATTAGGTTGAAGATATGCCTTTTCCAGGCTCAGAAACAACAGCTTGAAACTTGAAAATCCAAACAATAAATGAAAGTCAAAGGAGATGAATCTCTTCTCTGTGACAACATACAAATCTTGAAGCAAACAGAACCGAGAGAAACACAATCTTTCTTTTTCCCTTGCTACATAACCGCAACAGCGAAGGTTTTTTTCCTACTTCTCTCCATCACCAACCAGTTGGACTCAAAGCTGCATCAGTAAAAACACGTAATAATTAATAAACAAGAGAACACTTAAACCAGCAATTGAGAATATCAAATTTTTATTAACAAATGCCTTAAGAACAAACCCCTTTCAGGGAGTCAAGGAATTGGAGGAGTCGAAGAAGGTTGTGTAACTGCTGACGATGAGCTGAAAAACAGGGGAAAAAACTATATTAATAGAGCAAAAAATTTTTTTTAATTATTATGAGATGATTTTTCTCCTTAGTTAGCATTACCTGCACCCTGTCTTCCATTTTACCAAGGCCAACATTTACACACGAATCAGATCACATGCCAAAAAATGAAAAAAAAGAAGAAGTGATTATTATTGAAAATATAATGAGAAAAAGTGAAAATAGTAACATTTTAATATTTAAACTCTTTATTAAAAATATTTAAATATTTTTAATAAATATTTTTTATATTAATTTATTAAAAATATTTTAATTTTTTATTATTATATCATTTTAAATATCAAACGTCTTAATTTTTCTCAATTCTGAATATAATTTATGCATAAGAAAAAGAAAAAGAAATAACCATTTAATTAATATGAGGACTTCTAGCTCCTGTTGAACTTGCGCGAGTAGATTCAGACGTGCTTCTTGTTTTACGTAATTAATTAATTAAGCTCTGTGGGATTAATAATTTTCAGAGAGAGAAACAGTAGATGAAAATCACCTAATCATCTTGTGCGGTAGTTTTTGCGTGTCCCCCAATTCTATATCTTCATTCACAACCTTTTCGCCTGAGTCATCAGAATCATCATCAGAAGAATTGTTGGAGAAAGCATCTTCGTCGTCTCGATCTTCATCATCTTCAATTTCTTCATCGTCATCAGGTTTGAGGAAATCAGGTGGAGGTTCAATTGAACTGAATATGAAGAAAAGAAAAGGAGATTAAGAGTTCAAATCTCAGCGTGTTTTCTGAGTATATATTGATAATCATAGAAAAGAAGGATAGGGACTTGAATAAGATTACCCGTATGACTGAATAATACCAGTCTTCGGAGGATTCTGCACCCTGAAAATTCAAGGAAAAACAAGATTAGTCGAAAGAAAATATAATAAAACATAGATTTTAACGTTAGAGGCTGTGATTTAAGAGCGAACTCAATGTCCCTTGAGGTCAGCTGGGAATTCAGGGAACATGTCATCGTCATCGGCCATATATGTTGAAATGAAGGAGGCGAGGATGGAAGAGAGAATAGAGCTCAAGAGATATAAGAAGTGAAGGGGTGGAGAGAAAGGCGAGAAAGGGCATGAATTTATAGGAGAAGAGAAGAGGGGAAATGTTCAATGCATTGCAAGCTGCATACAAATATGGAGCGTCGACATAAATGCTTAATTTTGCTTAGGGGCCACTCATGAAATTGGATTTTTTTTTTTGGGGTATTAATTTCTTGATTTCTTCAATGTTTTCAAGGGTATTTTGGGCCTTAGAGTTTGGTTAAGTATCTATTTTACATTTTTATCACTCTTGTGGATGTGTGAAATTTTACGTAGAAAATCAAAGAAGAAAATTTATGGGATTGGAAATGGTTAGTTATTAGAAAAAATTACATGACAAAATAATGCTCATGTCTGTATTTTTATACATTTTTTTAAAGATTACAGGATCATAATGGTATTACCTAGTAACAATATTTACATTAATAATTAAATTCACTCCATCTTTTTATTTTTTTAGATTACATGGTTATATATAACAATATTACCTATTAACGATATTTGTAGTAATGATCAAACTCATTTAATCTTTACACAGTTTTTTTGTATCATAACGTCATAACTATGTTACCTATAAATGATATTTACAATAACAATTAAACTCATTCATCTTTTCTTACTTTTTTAGGTTAATTATTAAATTATAATGGTATTATCTATCAACGATATTTGTGTTTATAATTGAACTTACTACATCTTAAAAGTATATCTTTTGTTATTTTCTTTAGAAATCTTCATTGAATTTGAATTACTATCTTCGTCATCATGATTCAATTAAAACTATTTTTTTAAGAAGACTAGAATGAACGACGTGTGTACGTAAAAGTTGTGATATTGGAAATCAATTAGTTATTAGAAATAAGAGTACTTGCACCGTTGTTGCACGTGATATCATTGCTTATACTTCTATTTTTGTCTCTTTATACTTCTCCAAATCATAACATCATTACCCCTCAGTGGTAGATCTGGAAAACAGGTTAGATTGGGTGGATTTGGATTGGATCATCTCAGATTTCAGGTTGTTTAGATTACGTCATTTTGAGTGTTGAATTAAAGAAATTGACTTATGACTCATTCACACAGGTCTTGGATTGGGTCAGGTGGATCTAACTTTTAAAAAATTAAAATTAAAATTAAAATTTTATATATATATTTTTTATTTTTTAAACAAAATCTAATACTAATTAATTATTTAGTTAAAAAACTTTATTTTTAATTAACTACTTAGTTAGAAAACTTATTAAACGTTAATCTCCATTTCATAATTCAATTTTTTTCCAATCT